ACATTGAAATTAATAATTTGATACAATGGATTTATTGTGTACATACATGTTTTTACATTGTAGTTACATTTTAAAAATACCTGCATGTAATTACAGCTGTAATTAATAATTTATGTAACAACATCTGTAATTACACTTTAACCCACCCTTAAACCTATCCATCCCACCACACCTGTACCTAACCTTACCCATATCACACCTCAATAGCAGCAAAAGTGTTTTACAATACAACAGGAACACAATAACACATTGTACTTATTTTTCGATGTAGGTACATAGTACTTAAAGCCACTTAATATAAATTGGGACCCTATTTTGTTTTGAACTATGCTGTATAGCTGTGTTTTCCCATGTGTTTGTTGTCAAACTCAAAAATTAGTATATTTGTAATTATTAAAAAAATGCCATTATTTTATTAGAAAAAGTTAATAATTGCATTTTATTAAGAAAATATTTTGGTTTGACTTTAATATATAGACGAATCCGGCGAAACTACCGGAAGTAAGCGGGCGCCATTACTGAGCTGTTGCTGGGTAGCGTTGCGCCATTGCCTTCTATTGTTTTAGTTGCAACTTGCGTCCACTGGAATAAACAGCTCGCGATTTACGACTGTCACTAACGTTACAACGTTAGCCCTTGTATAATGTCGAGTGGGTAAACAGTTTCCGTTATAAATTGTTTTAATGGTGGCAGTAAAATTCCAATTTTGAAGAGAAAACATTGTGAATACCCCGGGTCTCACTGCCCCTGTCTGGTGCCGTACGGTTTACACAGATTTCCTGGGCGAGTACAAGACGCGGACATTCGCGTATAATAACAATTATTTAATGACATAAGTAAAAAAATATAATAAATGTGTGATATTGTGATCAGCAAAATCTCCTCTCTTGTTATTTTTTCTATTCAATTAACATGCTATGGTCATTAAATGGCTTTCCTGAGCTGAACGTTATGTGACATAATTGTTCTCCTGCTGTTATATTGACCTCTTTCCATGGTTTAAAAACAGTAGTTGGTCGATATTATGTATACTTTCTAGCTGTAACGTTACCTTACCCATGCCCGTTGCAATGTAAAAATGAGATAAATAATGGACACAAATGAAAAACATGAAATTGTTTATTTGATTTCATTTATTTATTTATTTATTGTTGCCAAATGGACAGATCTTTTTTTAGTTTCCTCGGTAGCAAACGTTAGCCTAGCTTGCTTGCCAAGCTATTTTCATAAATAATCTGTAAGATCGTTTGTACCTTCATCTGTGACTGGAGGCCAATGTCTAACATCATCAACCCAACAAGTCTGCCTGGCTGTAGCTGTCATCAAGGGTGCGTTATCACCTTATCTCCGAGGTTTGTTTACATACCGGTGCATATGTCTATGCCGGTGTAACAGCTCAGTAATGGCGTCGCCACAAGATGGCAGCCTACACAAGAACGCTCGTCGGATTCGTCTATATATGAAGAGTTCAGATGCAAAAACCTCTAAGTGCCATTTGAAATTTTCTTCTAAAATGATGATTTTTTATCAAGCTTGTATATTTCAGTTCAGTGATTTCACTTAAATGGCAATGATAATTACCTATTAATTGTCATTTAAGTGAAATTACTGAACTTAAATATACAAGCTTGATAAAAATGGTCATTTTAGAAGAAAATTTCAAATGGCATTTAGAGGCTTTTGCATCTGAACTCTTTATATATATATATATATATATATATATATATACTGTATATGTATTTTTTTTTTTTTTTTTTTTTTTTTTTTTTGATTAGATCAGATTCACCACCAACACCCTGATCCTCTCTCTCCGAGTCCGTCAGATCTGGTCGGGGCAAGCATGAATGTCATTGACATTTTAAGTGTCTCTAAAAAATCTAACACCCAGTAAAGTTTCATTTCTCTGCATCTTCTTTCGAATACAACATTCAAATTACTAGACAAAAACTTATATCCTGAAAAGTGGATTTTTAGGGGTATTGCTCCATAGACCTCCATTTATTCTGCACTCCGCCTGTGAGCGCCCTCACATGGACCCAGAGTGGAACTGCAACAGTTACGAACCCGGAAGTTTAATATGAGTAGGAGCAGAGCCCGTCTAACGGAGAGCCTTGGCACTTCCTATTAGCCCCGTTGTGTATCATCCTGGTTGCAGTTCCATTAGAATTCCACTGGAGGTGATCGCGGGCGAGAGCAGAATGAATGGGAGTCTATGGGGCTAAACGGCTAAATGTGTCTCTTTCACCTGCTTGTCGTTAAATCAACAAATATTTTATTGTTGATTCCGCAAGTTCAATATAGATTATAGGCCAAAAGTCGAATGAACGAGTACTTATGTCCTTTCGATTTCTTACAGGTTAGGCAGTTGTTGGCCGGAACACGCTAGCATTCTGCTATTGTGTGACGTCATCACATTTCTGAACGGATTTCTAGAACAGATAAGTGAACTTAAAAATGCAATTTTCAGCTGAGTGTATTTTCTTAGCCCTCCCTTTTGAATGCAACTTTCAAATTACTTGACAAAAAATTACATCCTGAGAAACGTGGATTTTTTGGGGTGAAACCCCATTGACTCCCATTCATTCTGCACTCGACCGCGAGCGCCCCCGCATGGACAGAAACGCGTTACTGCAGCCAGTCCAGAACCCGGAAGTAACCAGCCAGGAACTCTCCCCATAGATATACATTATAATGTCTAGATGTCTCGTCCGCGCTGCTGGCCAATGGAAGTCGACGTCTTTTTTTTATTGCAAATTAAAGAAACATACAATAACAGAGAACAGAAGAGAAAAAATAAAATAAAAAAATACAATAACAATAAGAGAGGGGTTACAGACATCAAAACAGATTGCATTAAGTTATACAATACAATATAACAATTTGTTAAAATAGCAAAATTAAAGGTTCTTTACAACAGGCTCAATAATATTTAACCTTTGTTTAGAGGTTTCGAAAGATTTTTAAAGGAAGAAAAAAGGGACTTTATATCTGATGAGAACATTTTAAAATCCGGCTTACAATGGTTCTGGCTTTGGAGGTCGACGTCTTGTCACAGGCAGCTTGCTAAACAACCATAACTTGCAAAATTTTCTACCGATTTTCAAACGGTTTGGTTTGTTATAAACGTCAGAGATGTTAAGACACTGAATACTTATTAATAATTAATGGACTTCCATATGAAAATGCAATAAATATACGCACACACAGGTATGTTATTTATGTTATATATATATATATATATACACACACACACTTTTATAATATGAATATTACTATTATAATTTAAATAATTTACATTTTTATTTCAGGATTATTTGATGAATAGAGAGTTCAAAAGCACAGCATTTATCTGAAATAGAATCTTTTTGTAACATTAAACACCACCGTTAAAAAGTTGGGGTCAGTAAGAATTTTTTAGTAAGCTACTAAAAGGTCCTCCTAAAATCCTCCTAAATTCAGTGATGGACCTAAATGCAATCTCAAACTTTTGAACGGCAGTGTGTGTCCATAAAGAAATGCTGCGCTCACAGTTCTTGTTATTAGTCAGCTAATAACTACAACCACATCCACAAAGATTGTAATTTAGACAAAAGATTAGTTTTAAAAACCTATATATAATTGAACAGCTCGATTGTGGTCAGCCTTGATAACGTGCGCAAGTAGCCACCCGTGACACAACTGCACGATTAAATCGGGTTTTTTTTTTTTTTTTTTTCGAAAAGAAAAGCTGCAATTTTAACATGTTCAAGCATCCAGAATTATAACCACCTTAATAAAATTTGTAAGAAACAAAACCGTTTGTAAATCCGTCAAGATTTCAACGAGATAAGAGGATTTGTGTTCGTGCAGATCACTGGACTTACATCAGGTAACACAGAGCACGCCAGAAAGCTTGCCTGTGACAAGATGGCCGCCGGTGATTACGTTTGAGACTCCGCCGTAAGAAATCTAGTCTTTATTATTCTATGGCTCTCCCCATATCTGATTCAGACTTTCTAAAATTGAAACCGAAAGCAGACCGACGCCTATTCGGGAGATAGAAAATCAGCAATCGCTTCACATGTGACTGTAAGTTCGTTAAACTTTTCATATCTGTATTATCCATGGATTATTTACGACCAAACAGACATAATGACGACATTGGAAACTGATAAAGTGGAAAATTACTTTTATGATCACTTCTACTGTTAACACTCATTAAATGGCCGAAAATGGTTAAACTTACATTTTTTCCCTTTAACATGAGCATTTAAGTTTAACGTTTAAATCTTTGGTTGACTTGAAACAATTTCATTATTTACAATCTAGCTAGCTATAGGCTATGTGTGTTCAGAGTGACGCAGTAAGACTGGTGAAAATAAGTGTAACGTTAGGCCTAGTCGCAGAATACTCTCATAAACGCGTGAAAATAACCTCATATTTGCTTAATTCGAGACGGAAAACGGATTGGGAAAAACACCTGCAAGAGTTCAGCAGTGTTATTAAAGTGAATCCAGTGTTTTTAAACGAGGCTGCTGTGTTTTAAAGGTGGCCGACATGTTGCTGTATAAACCAACATTTACAGTAACTAGAGAAAAACTGTTGATGTTATTAAAGTAAAGTAAATGCTATTTAAATGAAATGTGTCAATTCAGTGAGTTCTGTGCATGTTTTCTGTGTCCACACACAGGTCTGGAATCAAGTCTCTCTTATATTGAGGAAGAGATCCGGACCTGTAAAATGAGTGTGTGTGAGGAGAGAGAGGAGGAGGCGTCTGTTCACACTCAGAGAGCAGCATCTCCAGTATTCAGCTGTGTGTCCATGAAGAGTAACATCTCCATGATTATTCCCCCTGAACTCAGTGGTCGGCCATCTTCACGATTCAGCTGTGTGTCCATGAAGAGTAACAGATTCATCTATGAACCCCCTAATCTCAGTGATGGACCATCTTCAGGATTCAGCTGTGTGTCCATGAAGAGTAACAACTCCATGATTATTCCCCTGAACTCAGTGATCGGCCATCTTCAGGATTCAGCTGTGTGTCCATGAAGAGTAACAGATTCATCTATGAACCCCCTAATCTCAGTGATGGACCATCTTCAGGATTCAGCTGTGTGTCCATGAAGAGTAACAACTCCATGATTATTCCCCCTGAACTCAGTGGTCGGCCATCTTCAGGATTCAGCTGTGTGTCCATGAAGAGTAACAGATTCATCTATGAACCCCCTAATCTCAGTGATGGACCATCTTCAGGATTCAGCTGTGTGTCCATGAAGAGTAACAACTCCATGATTATTCCCCCTGAACTCAGTGGTCGGCCATCTTCAGGATTCAGCTGTGTGTCCATGAAGAGTAACAGATTCATCTATGAACCCCCTAATCTCAGTGATGGACCATCTTCAGGATTCAGCTGTGTGTCCATGAAGAGTGACCACTCCATGATCATTCCCCCTTTGTTCAGTGATGGACCTCCTGTGACCTCTGACCCTTTGTGAGTATCATGAAGTTCAAGGCCGGTCTAGATTCTGTTGGCGCCCTAGACAAGATATTATATTATATTATATTACATAGTGGTGCACTGAAATGAAAATTCTGGGCCGAACCCGAAACCGAAAATTTTGGATGCACTTGGCCGAAATCCGAAACTGAAGCTGAAAATGGCTTCTTTTAAAAACATATACTATTTATATAAATATATATATATATTTAAATTGTATGAATTTAATGGATCTGAAACAAAACAAAACCTAAAACATTTTTAACAATAAATAAATATAAATAATAATACCAAATAATATTATTCTTAAAGTTTTATGTTCCATCAAATAAAATTGTTTTATAACAGTTGTGCAAAAAATATCCACAATTATCTGAATTAGGGCTGCAACAACTAATCGATAAAATCGATTATAATCGATTGTGAAAATCGTTGTCAACGAATGTCGTTATCGATTAGTTGGTCTGATTACTTCACAGGGATTGTTTACATGCTTCATGAGGCACACACACGTAAGATCTTTCTCCCTCGCGCGCAACACGGACGGTTTGGAGCACATTATCTTCTGTCTTCATGCGCGCTCCTGATTCCGTGAGTTTGAACTAATTTGCGGGCATCAGGAAACCGCTATCAATATGCCGCATACATGAAAATCACTCAACTTTCGGCGAAATTCGCCGTTTTGAAACCAATCCTGTATACTTTATACTATATGAAGCCATACTATAGTATAATGTGAGATAGAAATGTTGACGAAAGCTTTTCCCTCCGCTGCGGCTGTCAGCAGTGGTGTAGTCTAGTTTTTTGTAGTGAGTATACTGTGATATACCAGCAGCCCCCCCCACACCGCCGCCACCACCACCCATTTGCGAAAAATTTTCAAAATTTGTGTGATATTCCTTTAAAATTCAATAGATTTGATTATTATTTTAAAAATTATATTTTACTATGCAATTTTTTTCATAATTCCATCGAGTTACTTTATTTATCTCTATAAACTGTTGTAAATTAAAGACATTTGAGCTTCTGTGTGTTTTAATAAACTATTATTAGTATTATTAGGCCTACTTGAAGTAGGCCTATAATCTACTGTGCAATAGTAATATATTTCTTTTATATTTTCTTCAAGTGATACAAAACGTTGATTTTGACAGGTTGCATGAAGCAGGGAAGAGGAACAAAACAAAACCTAAAACATTTTTAACAATAAATGAATATAAATAATAATACCAAATAATATTATTCTTAAAGTTTTATGTTCCATCAAATAAAATTGTTTAACAGTTGTACAAAAAATATCCACATTTATCTGAATTAGGGCTGAAACAACTAATCAATAAAATCGATTATAATCGATTGTGAAAATCGTTGTCAACGAATATCGTTATCGATTAGTTGGTCTGATTACTTCACAGGGATTGTTTACATGCTACAGGCGCTTCATGAGGCACACATGCAAGGTCTCTCTCCCTCGCGCGCAACACGGACGGTTTGGAGCACATTATCTTCTGTCTTCATGCGCGCTCCTGATTCCGTGAGTGATTCCGTGTGTGTGTGTGCATAGGATTTTGATCATCACTTAGGATTTTTTCTAAAAAAAAAAAAAGACAAAAAAAGGTAACACTTTAGTTTAGGATCTAATGCTCACTATCAACCAGTTTAATTACATGCAAAGGCAGGGTTTTATAATCACTGTTGTCCCAAATGTGAGGTAGGTTATCATGGGGGTTCAGGGTTTCCCTGAGAATGTTTATTTCTCTGATCTACATATGTGCATTTTAGGATGTTTTGAAGGCCAAAAAAAAAAAAAAAAATAGATAACAGCTTTAAAACCATGTCAGTGGGCACTGGGCAGCTGATTATTTCTCTCTCCTCATCAGCATCACCCTCTTTTTCTCTTTGTTTTTATCTTGCCCTGTCTCTTCCCCTCCTAAAGCTGAGCTTTGACTGATATAGGCTTTTCATTTTTATCAGTCAGTGAAGACAGTAAACATGGGGTCAACTAATAGGTGGATTTTCCCTATGAATAATTTTTCTCGGACACGTTTATTCACTGAAAGCTACTAAAGCTAGGTAATTAAGTTTATTAAATGCACATTCATTATTGATCTTATGACTACAGGGCTGTAGACAGGGCTTTATAATCAAAGAGGTCCTAAATTTGAGGTTGGTGCTTAATTTTTTAAATTTCTCTGATGTGCATTTCAAGACGTTTGAAGACCAAAAATGAATAAGAAATAGCTTTAAAACCATGTCAGTGGGCAGTACATTCTCTTCCCCTCCGAAGGCTGAGCTTTTTTAATGTAATAAAGGCTACAATTTTTATTATATTCTCAATATGTACACATTCATTATTATTCTTGTGGATAAAATGACGAAAGCTGCTTTGTTAATGTTTCTTGTCCCCTCGTAATGACAGTAAACTATTAAATTGCATGAGTCACGTTACAGGCCTATTTATTTCAGTTCAAAATGGCAAAATTAGACAAAACTATATTAATTTGCCTGGTTTTTTTTTTTGTCATTCGTTTAACATTTATGACCTAAAAAAATTAAAATATGAAGTTAAGCCACTTGCTTTCGTGCTTTCAGTGAATGTCCTCCTGACACACACACACACACACACACACACGAGGCTCAGAAAGACGCGCGCCAGTATCGTTTTCTTTTTCGTTCTCTTGAACGAACAATAACACACACATGTATGCCATATTGTCTGTTTTGTCGAGTATCCTCTCAAGAACAGTCTTAAATGAGTTAAATAAAATCTTAAATGGAAGTAAATAGTAGTGAGAGAATGAAATGCGTGAGATCCTGTCAGCAGCGGCAGATCTTAAAGTGACAGGAGCCATTCATTCTGTCAGTAAAGTTAACCTAAAGAACAGAGGGAACAGAGAAAATTCTTGACCAAAGACCGTTTGTAGCTTTGATAAAGATTAATCTATATTTCATTTATAATTTATGCAGTGCGAACTGTTTTATAACCTTATTCAATTTCTTTATGGTACAGTTAAATATGACACTTATTATGGGTTTAATGAGGATTGTCTTAAATTAAAAGTTTTTATAGTTTTTAAAGCCTAACGTTTAAAATTTTTGGGAAAATCATTTGCATCGAGATATCACTAGCTATAATATTAGTAATACTGGCTTTCATTCATAAAAAGATGCCATTAAGATACAGATGAAAACCATTATTTTCTCAGTAATGCCGCATGCTTTGGCACTATCATCTTCAAATTTCTTAGCCTTTTCAAAGAGTGTGGCCACCGAGGGTGTTTGTGATGAAGTTGAGGTACTTTTAATCAATGTTGTTTTGCGGCACTCCTCATGTTCAATAGGATATCGTGATTTCAGGTGGTGTATCAAACCTGTTGTTGAAAGGTTTTTTGGCACCGCACCCCCTCTTGAGATTTTTGCTGAACAAATGGTGTCCTCATCTAAAACTTTAAAATACTTCCATACCGCTGACATGGTTAATCTTTAATAGGCAGACGCGTGATAACAGCTCAACCGTGAGTGAAACCTAGGTGGGTGGGTGACATTAATTTTCGATATACGTTTTCAGCTTTTTTTTTTTTTTTGCCCTCAAACCGATAATGCCATTTTCGGTGCACCCCTAATGTTATGTTATTTTTTATTATATTATATTCACTGCCCCTAAAAACAACAATACTGGAAATAACACACAGAAACACATGTGTGTGTATGAGTGCACAAATAGTTGTTAAAATAAAGTATAAAAAGGCTATATATGTATCCAAATTGAATATATATAGATGATAGTCTTGGAATCCAGAGAAGCATCATTAGCCTCTCTCCTGGTGACCCTATTCTTGAACATAGACTGGACAATTATCCAAACTTATGGTTGTGGTACTTGATGTGCTGCATACATTTATTTTTATTTTCTATTAATATTAAATCTGTGCCTGGACAACCTAAAACTGCAAGTCAAAGTACTAAATCCAACCAAGTTGTCTTTGAAATGTGTCTCAAACTATCAATATCTGGGAGTTTTAGGCACAGTAGCCAATATGGCCGGTAGCTGACATTCAAAGTCTATTTAGTGATTTAAAACCTTTAAGGATTTTATTTCATGAATGCTTTGGGCTACTGTCCTCTTTTGATAAAAGACACTTAGGATTGTATTGCTGAAGTGAAAGCAATCAACAGTAAAAGTCAAAATAAAGTTTTACACTCAACTTGCGTTATTTGTAAATAAAATGTTCCGTTCCAGTTGAAAAATTCTAAAGTAGCTCCTCAAAATATCAAATAAACATCAATGACTCACAAATTGTAGTTATAATTCTTACTTCTATATTGTTTTTTTTTCTGCTCTTCTTTGCCTCAAGGCCGGGATTGTCTAGCCTGGTAATACCAGACTTTGCTACTTCACTTTGCTTCGTAGACTGAGTCTGGAATGGCATAATAGAGAAGTGTTCTTCTCATGCAAAGGGTTTTCTCTCATGAAGTATAAAATCATTGGTTACCCGTAAGCCAATCAGATAAGTTTATTTATGACGTATGTTAAGCGCTGACACAGCCGCATCGAACCACAGACATTATGCATCGAACTCGAATCTATGATCGAACTTCACTGTAAACAGGGAGCGGCGCTTTTGTAAGGGCTGCAAAATGTGTGTCAACCGGGAATGAACAATTCACAAACTAGGTTATTTATATGAATTACTGAGTTGCGGCCGCCTCGCAGCATCGGCGTGCCCTGCTCTCACGAATCATGACTGATTTAGCTTCCGCCGCCCCGCAGCGCCGCGAGGACGAGCCCGAGCCCCTACTCTCGCGAGTCATGACTGGTTATTAGGAAGTTCATTTTACTGACTCTCTGAGTCATTCGAGTCATTTCGTTTATTTAAGTGGCTTTAAATGTTATAATTTTAACAGCCAAATTCCCCGATCACATCCACCTACGCAATGTTGATCATATTCTGAATTAAGAAATCATAATGCAGTAAAAAATGATTTACAGGGAACATAAATAATCACTTTACCTTCCGAGTCTTACGTTCATTTGTTACGTGACATACGCAATAAACAGATTGTTCATGAATCACATATCTGGGACTAATGCAGCAGGATGTCGAAACGAAATATGGTGGATTATTATTATGATAATAATAATATGATAATAAGAGCGCGCCAGGAGCGTTCACAGCTGAGGAGACCGACTTTCTTGTCATGGCCGTAAAAGACGGAGAACTGACGTTGAATGGGGGTAAATTATGTCCTTATAGTTATGCATATAGTTATGGCCAAACAGGTCTGATCAGTCATTACTACAATTAGCCTGAAAAAAATTTGGTAGCCTGAATGCCTAAGCTTGAAGTGTTAATATTTGTCCTTGTTATAATGATTTGCAAAAATAAAAACGGCTGCATCTGTGTTGATGAGAGAATCAAAGTGTATGCGCGTTGTGCAAGCTACATAATGGCCAAGCATGCTGGTTTTTGCTGGTATACGTTGCAAATAGAGGGGCAGCTAAATTGTTTTTCGCCTAGAGTGGCAGAAGAGCACGCGCCGGTCCCAGCTGTAAACACTGATGATGCGAGGGAAATACCGGAGTGAACATGGCTGTAAACAACTTCTGCTTCTGTTTGAAAAAACCCAGAATGTTCTCCATAACAGAGCGAATTGCATCCCGTGTCTTGTTTCCCATTTCTGCGGTTGTTTCGGTTTTCGATTTCTCTAACCTAAAATGTAAAACTCGGCGCTTAGCGTCTACGTCACGGCTCTCAGCCCACCCTCTGTTCGTTGATTGGCCGGCTGTTTTCAGGCGGTGGAAAACTGAAAGATAGGCCGCTATCTCAGACTCACTACAGGAGCGAAATGAAATTAGCGGAAGTAGGAAGTCTGACGTAGTCACGCTAGGGATTGTCCATTGTCAAGGCAGAAAACGACAATTGCCCTTGTTGTTTGTGAAACAAACAAACAACACGGGCTTTCATTCTGCTCAATTTTTAATTCATAAACTTTACCCACTTATATTATAATTTATATAAGAAAACATGTAAAACTCGATTTAGTGTGCTTGTGAGGGCCCTAACCAGGTAAACTTTCAGATGCCTGCTGAAAATCATCTGGATGACCTCTGAAATTAAAGCTTATTTCTAGGAAGGTCAGTTCGAATGAAGGAGAAATGGCAATTAGAAAATATTTTCAAAATGCTCCAATATATTTTTTTTTAATTACATGTTTTACTGTCAAGCACTTTGTGACTTATCTATAATAAACAATTAAAAATATTTTTTTTGTTTTTCCTCAGTATCAACATCATGAAGAGAAAGAGAGCAGCTTCTCCAGTATCCAACTGTGTGTCCATGAAGAGGCAAGAGCCCCCACAATTCAGTGATGGAGCAGTAACCTTTGACCCTGTGTGAGTATCATCATGTAGACACATAAACACATATTTCATATCACTAAAACTCATTAACATGTATAAAAAGTAACAAGTGGAAGTCAAGATGCAAGACTGCTCAAACCAGACAGTGAGAGCAAATATCAAGGCACCTTTAAAAAGCAAGATTCATATCAGCTGATCAAAATAAAATTAAATCTGTGATTAGTATAAAATCTGTTTTTTTTTTTTTATTTCTAAAGGAAAGTGGCAAGTTAATCTTCTCTGACTTCTCTGTCAAATGCTTCACTTGTGGCAAAGGGGACTTTAATGTGCAACTAGGAAATGCGGAAACAAACTGAGTTTGCAGTCTCTTATAATAAATCATCTGTCATCAGTCTCCATTTAGATGCTAATTAATTACATGTAACCATATCACACTACAGTAGATATACATTTGTCTGAAAGAACAAACACTTATTTCTACATGTGGTATAATTTTCATATTAAACATATTTAAATAGTTTCTTTATTTTCACAAAGGTCTTTTCTGTTTGTTTTTGTGTCTCTGTCTTAATGTGTTTCCAGTGGTAGGAGAGCTGAGCAGATCCGATATGCGTCGTCTCAGACCAGCACATCCTCCTCCTGTCAGAAACACATCAGTCATCATGACACAGAAGCAGGTCTGCAGCTCGATTCTCACCAGCCAGTGCATGATGATCTGCAGAGAGTCAAAGACCAGCACAAAACCAGCATGAAGAACAGATATGAGAGCGTATTTGAGGGAATCAAACTACAAGAGAATCAGACTCTCCTGAACAGGATTTACACACAGCTGTACATCATAGAGGGAGAGAGTGAAGGAGTGAATGAAGAACATGAGGTGCTACAGATGGAGAAAAGTTACAAGACCCTCCAAGACACTCCAATCCACTGCAATGACATCTTTGATCCTTCACCTGAACCAGGATATGAGGAGAAGAAAAGAGAGAAGAAAGACAAAATCAAGACTGTTCTTACTAAAGGCATCGCTGGAATCGGGAAAACCGTCTCTGTGCAGAAGTTCATTCTGGACTGGGCCGAGGGAAAAGCCAATCAGGATGTAGATTTCATGTTTGTGCTTCCATTTAGAGAGCTGAACTTGATTAAAGATCATCAGTACAGTCTTCACAGACTTCTGCTGGACTTTCATCCTGAACTTCGAGATCTGGACTCAAAGATGTATGATGAATATACAGCTGTGTTGATCTTTGATGGTCTGGATGAAAGCAGATTGACACTGATGTTTTCAGACAGTGAGAAAGTTTCAGATGTGACTGAGTCTACATCTGTGGGTGTGTTGATGTCAAACCTCATGAAAGGAGATCTGCTTCCCTCAGCTCTCATCTGGATCACCACCAGACCAGCAGCAGCCAATCAGATCCCCTCCAAATACATCAACCGTGTGACAGAAATTCAGGGATTCAATGAGCCTCAGAAGGAGGAATATTTCAGGAAGAGAATCAGTGATGAGGATCAAGCCAGCAGAATGATCTCTCACATCAGAAGAGCAAGAAGCCTCCACATCATGTGTCACATACCCGTCTTCTGCTGGATCTCAGCCACTGTGCTTCAAAACATCCTGAAACAAGATCTCAGTGCAGAAATCCCTCAAACTCTGACTGAAATGTACATACACTTCCTCCTCATTCAAACTCATATGAGGAGCCAGAAGTATGAAGAGAGAGATCCAGAGAAACTCCTGCAGTCCAACAGAGAAGTGATTGTGAAACTTGCTGAACTGGCTTTCAATCAGCTGATGAAGGGCAATGTGATGTTCTATGAGGAGGACCTGATTGAGAGCGGCATAGACGTCACTGACGCCTCAGTGTATTCTGGGATTTGCACTGAGATCTTTAGGGAGGAATCTGTGATTTATCACAGGAAGGTTTACAGCTTTGTACATCTCAGCTTTCAGGAGTTTTTTGCAGCACTGTATGTGTTTTTCTGTTATTTACACAAGAACAGTGAAGTTCTGAAAATGTTCCTCACTGGAAAGTCCAGAACCCAATCTGGGAATGTTTCTCTTGATGTGTTTCTGAAGGGAGCAATGAGTAAAGCCTTGAAGAGTAAAAATGGACACCTGGATCTTTTCCTTCGATTCCTTCATGGCATCTCACTGGAGTCCAACCAGAGACTCTTACAGGATGTGCTGATTCCCACAGAGAACAACCCAGAGAGCATCAAGAACATAATCCAAAACCTTAAACGAGGTCAAAAAAACAATGTCAGTCCTGAAAGATGGATGAATCTGTCACACTGCTTGATTGAGATGAAGAATAATTCTATTGTTGATGAAATTCAGACATTTTTACAATCTGGAACAAACGACAAACGTCTTTCTTTTGCACAATGTTCAACTTTGGCAAACATGATCCTGATGTCAGAGGAGGTGATGGATGAGTTTGACCCTAAAAAGTACAAGTTCATATCTTCACAAGAGGGTCTAAGGAGACTGTTACCTGCTCTGAGGAACTGCAGAAAAGCTCTGTGAGTGTGAAAATATTAATATAATATAAACTGAATTGAAATATGAGCATACTACCCCCATCATTATAGATTTCCTGTGGCACTGTAATGGCAATTTAAAATGTTTCATTTATTTACATAATTTTGAAGTGTCCACAGATTAAAAGACTAAAAGTTTATCATTTCACGGATGCAAACATTGCAATATCGATGCTGAAACGATACATTGTGTAGCCCTAGTATAAATGTGTGTAGTATGAATGGAATCCAGACGCACTACATTCGCCATGTTGTCAATATTATGTGACCTACAAGCGTCAGTTACGTCGCTTCACTGCTATTCATAAAACTCTCCTTATCGGCCGGCCGATATATCGGACCGATATTTGTGGTTTTTACGTGTATCGGAATCGGCCGATACGCGGCTGCTGCGTTCGCCGATAGTTTTTTTCCCGGCATTATTTATAGACAGGCAACACCGGCAGCTCTGTGCTGCTGCTGGAGACTGCAGTTCACGTGCCCCGCCCTCCCCCACTAGCAGAGTGCAACCTGCTCTTCACAAGAATGGTAACCTAAACTTTCAAAGGATCTTTTAAATGTTTGACTGCTGAAATATTGCCAAACACTTTGAAAATTGAAACATGTTGCTCTATAACTGTTATGTGCTTGCAACTATACAGCTAAGCAAGTTTGTGGGTCCAAATGGAAAACATGAATGCCTCGTCTATAAAACTTAACTGCTTGCCATTGTATTAGGGAGCTGCAAATAGCTAAGGTGTAGGCTATCCGTTCAGTATGCATTAGGGCTGTCTATGAATATTCTACATTCGAATATGTATTAATTTTGAAGGTGAAAATTAATATTTGAACGTGGAAAAACACGCCCGCGGTTGCAGACTAATAACGTTACCACAGCTGCACAGCTCGCTCTAATTATTTAATTTATGCTTAAATATTTATTTTCAGCACTGAACTTTTTTTTGTTCTACCTCATGTTTTTAAAAATTTGTTAAAAATATTTTTTTTGAAGTTAATTAAATGTTACTTTTATTAAATTGAGACCTGTAACATTTGTTAACATCATGTCATTTTTATGATGTAAATTGAGGGAGCAAAATGTATCGGCTCCAAATATCGGCTCAAGAAAATCGGCAGCCCGTATCGGTCATCGGTTAAGGCTGATGGGTACAAAATCGGTATCGGCACTAAAAATTCCATATCGGTCGATCCCTAATTATCCACACAGGACCAGGATGATCATAACCTTTTAACAAGAATCCTCTCTTTTTTTCAGATTAACAGCCTGTAATCTCAGTGATCAGCAGTGTGAAGTTGTGGCTTCAGTTCTACAGTCATCAAACTCCTCCCTGAGAGAGTTGGACCTGAGTAACAATCACTTGCAGGATTCAGGACTGAAGCTGCTCTGTGCTGGACTGAAGAGTCCAAACTGTGGCGTCAACATACTGAGGTTTGAGTTTCACATTCATTCTGTAAAGTAGCAGAAAGCAGTTTCTGAGAAACACTGTCAATATATGAAATCAACACCCCCTCCCTTCATTGCTCCACCGCTGAAAATAATTAACTCACACGTCACATGTGCATAGGGTGACCACACGTCCTGTCTTTCATCTCTATTTTAAATTTCCCAAATTATAATGAGAAAATCATGTTTTGTGATCATCAAAGTGAATAGTAGTTTTCTGTCTCGTGAGAATTTCCTAATCAAAGGCAGCCAATCTCATCATTTTGGAGAACAAAAATAACATCCTATCACAATTCGTAATCGATTAACTTGCAGTTGGTGAAGGCAGCATATTAGAGAGAGCGAAGGAGATCAAGTCAGATGTGAATATGTCAAAGAAGCGTGTGTGTACATTTAAAGAGGATCTTCAAAAAGAGTTATTATGTGGAGTAAGTTTTGAAAAAAGAACTCAATGCGGTATCGTGCTGAATGACACACCAGAAGTGCTCTCTCACACAGTGCACAATCCCAAATCAGGGTTTTTATTACATTGAAGATTTTTTTGTGCTGCCAAAACCTTAATTGATCAGTGATTTAGTTGTGACAGGGTGCATGTTGACTGAGAGAGAGAGAGAGAGAGAGAGAGCAAAGAGCTGAACCCCCTTCCCCCGCACACACTTTTACTGTCTTTCAACTAAGCAATGTCTTTGTTTTCGCATGGATCCGACCGTCTCTGTCCGTACGTTACAAAACCTGCTGTAGTTTATTCAATTTTTATCACTGTCGAATTTGTCATATTGTTTGTCACTTTGCTTTGTTCTTTTTTATGTAACAAAAATAAAATAGCTATATGATGTCATTATTATGGAATAATTTCTCAAATCATGAAATGTTTAGTCATATTGCCATTTTGTCAAGCAAAATTTTGTCAAGCGAAGTTGTGATAGATACTTTTTTATTTGTGTGTGTGTGTGTGAGGGGGGGGGGGGGGTTGCCTGCCCATCCCATCTTGTATTCCTCCATAAAAAATCTGGTTACCCTACACGCACAACATCTAACAGCTGGTGCATCAGACAGTTTGAGTAAAATGGATAAAATAGCTGTACTTTAGCAACATCATACCTTCTGTAAAACAGCAAAATAATAATAATAATAAATCAGAAATAAAGCAACCTCGGCATTCGTTATCAGGATTTGAAATCACTTTATTTTAGAGTACTTTTTTCATGTACATACTATTAACTTATTACATATACTAATTAATATGTTATAATAGACCCCTTTTCAGTTGGTAAACATGGTGACGTTTTTTTGTGGGCGGAGCTTAGGTGGAGGCAGAATGATCCCTCTGGCCGCTTTACTAACGCTAGTTAGCAAGTATTGTTAGCTTGTTTTTTACCAATGACTGGAGAAAATCAGATTTTATCTTAATGTGTAATGCTACGTTCGCGCCTGACGCGTCTAGTTTGACGCTTGACCACTTTGTGTTATTTCGCATGTCAAGAGCGAAACTGGCGCGCGTAAAAACAAAAGTTTGAAGCGAAATTTACGCGCGTCAGAATCGAAATCCGTTGGCGGCCATTGTTTTTATGTCGACCGAGCATTCATCAAGAGAGTTACCGCTCTGTATTTACTCTGGAGAGCAGAACAGCGGCGTGGGGATCATCGTCGCCGTATATTTGTGTCCACCGGACCCTTCGGAGCCGAACCGTTTGGCAAGTTTCACCATTTGCTCGCTCCAGGAGCTGCGCTGGATGAGGGCCGCTGTCAGCGGTACTTCCGCCTGTCACGCGCCCAGTTTGATGACATGGTGTCCCGCATCGGAGCGAGGATCACCCTCGCCCTCATCCATCGAATCTAGTTGTCATTTATTTTGATGATAAATAGAGCCAGCCTTCAAAAGTTATTAACCTGTCCTGTGATTTTTTTTTTTTTTTTCTCTCTCTCTCTCACGTCCAGACACAAATTTATGCACATATGTTGATTGTCTTTACAACATAATACTATTTTATATAATCTAGCTATGGAATGAATAACATTCAACACAAAATGAACATGTCTCGTATATAGAAATATTGTTTTAAGTGATAAAACATTTGCTTTGTTGTGCATAATCCCACTAGTCATATTAACAAAATAATTTTTTGAAGCATCCAGACACTTCACCACATGAGCAAGCAGCTAGGCTCCTGATTGGTTAACGCGGCGCGAATTCACGCCAAAGTTCAGATTTTTCAACTCGTGCGGCAGACGCGAATTCGCGTCAAACGCGTGAATGCACAAATGGCACATTCGCGCGTAACGCGCTTAACGCACCAGACGCTCAATTCGCGCATTCGCGCGAACGAGGCGTATTCGCGTCTTCCGCGCCGCGCTCCACGGCTCATTCGTGCCGCAGGAATTTTTCACGCGCGTAAAGCGTCTTTGCATTGACTTAACATTGAAATAATTCGCGCCTGACACCCTTTTCGCGTCCGGTGTGAACGTAGCATAAGGTCACTCAGTGTCCAGGACCGCGATTGTTATTTCCAAAAGTTATTTTTAACGGATAGAACCAGATTTGCCGACCCGTAGCCGCCTACAAGCTCACTCAATGCATGGACGATCTGACAGGATTAACGTACGTTACCTCGGTTGAGTGGCCTGACTTCTACACCTACCTTATAGAGAAACCGATCATGAAGAGAAACTGATGGCATATAAATCTTTAGATGCCTATATGGACCTGTACAAGACTTGTGTGTACGATCCGCAGTTCTGCCGAGCCAGTGCCGAGACGACGACAATGCAAAGAGTGACATTACGGTGTGATTTTAATGATGTGAATATTTTCTAGAAATAAAAATTCCAGATACAGCATATTCATTTTTCATCAATTCTTGCACCAAACAACACAACAAGATGACATTTAATAAAAGTAACAATAATTTAAGCTCCTTATTACGTAGCCAAATCTGTGCTGGTTTGTGTTAGCCGCCTCCAGTTTTCACTTTGTTTTGCCTCCAGCTAGCGCCGTGACGTAACTGTGACGTCGCCGCAAAAGGGGTCTATAGTAATTACAATAACTGGGTACTAAATAGGTGCTAACCATGAACCCACCCCTAAACCTAATCTTAACCCATGCAGTTACCTTGTATTACCCAGTACTTTCTAAAGGAAGTACTGTAAGAACATGTAAGTGCATGTAATGTAAAATAAAAATGCAACCCAGGCCTTCCTGCTCTCTAACGTCTCTCCAGTGCTCAGAAGCTTCTCCATTATTAACAAGCTCTTGACTGATCATAACCTTTTAACAAGAGTCCTCTCTTTTTTCAGATTAACAGCATGTAAGCAAATTGATCAGCAGTGTGAAGTTGTGTCTTCAGTTCTACAGTCATCAAACTCCTCCCTGAGAGAGCTGGACCTGAGAAACAATCACTTGCAGGATTCAGGACTGAAGCTGCTCTGTGCTGGACTGAAGAGTCCAAACTGCGGCGTCAACATACTGAGGTTTGAGTTTGATTTTCATTCATTAATTAATGTTAAGAATAATGTGTGCTTTATATAAATGTATACTACGGGGCTGTTGAATGCATGAATCTGATTGGTTGATTGGTGGTGGGAAAAAAACAATTCACATATGAATTGTGGTTCTATCTTCTGCCGATTCGCATCGATTCACAAATTTTACAAATCAATATTCTAAAGTGTTATATTTCCTAAATTTCATTGTACTACTTAAAGTAATTGACATGTTAGAGTGTTATTAATCACAATATGCCACGCAAAAGGGACTCAATGTGGTGCTCAGAGTGTGTCCGACTGCGGCCCGCAGTACTACAAACTACACCCCTAATAAACACGCCCCTTATCTCAAATCACAATGAAACAGCCATTCAGAATGTCATCAGAGACCTCCCCTCTGAAATCGCTGATGTCGTCACTACTGCTCTTCTCCTACTTCACTTTCCTTGCTATTTAAGCTTCACTATCGCCACCTAGTGATTAGGCATACAGATCATAAAACATAGATCACCAGTCGTATAACATAGATCACCAGACTTTGTAAGTAATCATTTTTGTTTTAATCAGTTTTTAAAGTATTTTAATTATGAAACTCTACAGATGTTATGGATAGGTTAGGTTTAAGCTTAAGGCCAATTTATACTTCTGCGTAGGGTGCGCGCAGTAGGTACGGCGTAGCACACGCACAGACGCGTCCCATACCGCGTACCCTTCCGCGTTGCCTGACGCGCACCTCTTCAAAAATGTAACTACACGTCGCAACGACGCGGACCGCAAGATCGGTGATTGGTCGGCTTGGTATCATCGTATTTCCTCATACGCTTTTCCGCATGTACCTTCTCACACATTTCCACACGTACCATCTCCTCTGACGTCTTCTCTCATTTCTGCCTTTCAGTTTTAGTAATTTCACTAAAATGAACTGTTTTTCCACCCCAATAAGCTCCAACTCCAACATGATCCACTCTCTTTCAGTCGCTATTGCTTGTAGTAACCTAGCCGCGAGGAATCTAAACACAGTGGAACATTAAAACCCTCCGCCGCCTACTAGCGTTTCGGAGCAGTAATGCAGAGCAACCAAGACCTGAACGCAGAAGTATAAATGCTCACAACGGCGTCGCCTACGTGCGAAGCCAACACCGTACACTACGGCGTACCCTCGACGCAGAAGTATAAATTGGCCTTAAGGTGTAGGTTTGGGGATGGGTTTTTTGCTATTATTACCTGTATTCTGTATTCATTTAATTGTAGATATGTGCCGGTTTTTGGTAATGCGATAAATCGCGTTAATGAATATGCACATGTTTTTTTCGCGGGCACTTAAAAATACCATGATAAATAATTGATCCGAATTTAGATTTTTGCAACGCGCATTAGCTTATTTTCCATCAACCGTGGAAAAAAACGCTGTGTATATGTTGCGCAAAAGATGTGCGCACTCTGATGTAAAAAATCCCAACATGTAAATAAACCTATATATGCGGTCCTACAATACAGACTATTATTATTAGGATTGTTTTTTAGGCTATTTTGTGTGTGTGTGTGTGTTTGTTTTAAAATGCTTAGATCAGTTGGACGAAACCCATAGCTTTGAAAGTAAAGAAGAATATACAGCCTGTATAAATGAGAGTGTTTGTTGAGATTTTTCAGTATTTGGCAGATATCAGTTATATTTTTGTAGTGTGTGGTGTGCTCAGGTGCGCGATTGTGATTGTCACTACAGGCCTAGGATGGAGCTCCTCACTTTGCAGTTAAAAAAAAATCACTTAATTTGCAAAGAATTATTATTATAGTTTTATGTATTTTTGATGTTTTTTCATTGTTGTTTTATAAAATCTCTATGACAATTGTTAAAAAAATGTTCAATCAAAACATCCCGTCTTCTTTTTTTTGGTCGACTAATCATTGCACAGGACAAGACTTTGGTCGACTAAGGATTTCTTTGGTTGACTACAGCCCTATCTCTATTATGCCATTCCAGACTCTGTCTATGAAGCAAAGTGAAGTAGCAGAGTCTGGTATTACCAGGCTAGTCATTTATGCCCCACTTGCCAAAATGTAGGGTGTGCAGTAAGGGGTTTAGGAAATCAGTTTCCACACATTGTAAAAATATTGTCTTGGTTTAACTAAAATCATTTAGGCTACTATTTGCTTCAGAATTATGAATATTTTGAACTGAACTAATTTGGTGACCAATTAGACTACATGTTTTCAACACGCACCCTTAATTAACTTTACACACAAACTCAACTCATTACTTTGAGTGACAGAAACAACTCAATTGATTGAAAGTAACTCAGGAATACACACTAGTCTAACATAAAAAAAATAGTTTATATATTGCATATAATATATTTTAATATATTAACTCAATATATTATTTCATTTAATTTTCAATATATAGTTATTATATGAATTATAAATGTATGGAAATATATTTTCATTACATTTACAATTACATTTAGCTGACGCTTTTATCCAAAGCGACTTATAATTGCTATATATGTCAGAGGTTGCACGCCTCTGGAGCAGCTAGGGGTTAAGTGTCTTGCTCAGGGACACATTCGTGTCCCACAGTGGATTCAAACCCGGGTCTCTCACACCAAAGGCATGTGTCTTATCCACTACTTATCCACAATTTTCATTTCATCAGGGTTTTAATCAGAACTCTTTTTTTCAGATTAACAGCCTGCAATCTAAGTGATCAGCACTGTGAAGTTGTGGCTTCTGCTCTACAATCCTCAAACTCACCCCTGAGAGAGCTGGACCTGAGTAACAATGACCTACAGGATTCAGGAGTGGCGCTGCTCTGTGCTGGACTGAAGAGTCCAAACTGTCAACTCAACATATTGAGGTACTTACAATACGTTTTATGTATATAGTTCCCTTCCATAGCTCAAGGTCACTTTACATTGTACATTACATTTACACACTCAAACAAATTGCAAATATATAAGGATACATAGAGCCACATTATCGAAATGACATGTTAAATAGATATGTTTTTTTAGCTGAGTTTCGAGGGTAGCCATATATTATATATAACAAAGTGTAAGGGGTAGTGAATTCCATAATTTAGGAGCATTAACACTAAATGACTTTCCTCCTCCAGTGGACAAAAAAAAAAAAAAACAAGTTCCGCTTGATCTAAGAGACTGGGCAGGGTTGTAGGAGTAAAGTAGATCAGATAGATTAGTATTACCTGTATTCTGTATTCATTTGATTTATGTTTTTGATCAGTGTTTCATACTTCATACTCATACTTTCATACATGCAATAAACAGATAGATTTTATAAACATTTCATACATAAAACATTACGTTCCAGTTACTTACTAAAATAATGTGATACTAACACAAGTGATACTAACGGTTACTTGGTTCCCTGAGATAATGGGAATGAGCATTTGCATCAGAGTTATTCCAGATGCTTATGGGGAAACTCCGTTTTCTCCAAAATACTGAAGCCCGATTGGTTCACTTCTGTACACCTGCACAGACAAATGGCTTTTCAGCCCGCCAAAACAGGCGGAGCTGACTGCCTATTTAAGTTGCGCTCTGAGCCATTTTCTTCTTTTATTTGTGTACACTCACAATAACGACAAGACTTTGCGATTTAGTAAAATAAAGAAAACAAACAGGGTGTGCTTTCTGCATACGCAAGGTCTCTCGCTCGCTTACTTCCACGGGCGTCAGTTTGGTTTGAAATATGCTGGGGACAGAGACGCATTCGGAAGTGCATTTTCAAAAGTGCTGGGTACAAACTTGTCAAAGTGTGCTGCCTTTCTGCTCAACCCATAGATAAATGCATAGATCCGCAAGTATTTGTTTGAGATTTTCAATGGTCTTGTGTTAGATCTTTTGCCAAGAGTGTCAGAGGTCAGAGATCTTTTGCAAAGAGTGTTTTTTTTCTCTCGCTCATCAATACCGAATATGTTCATCAGTGTCTATTTCAAGCAGGGACATGTTTGTGTGCATTTTATTTTGTGATTTCACCGGAATTAATAGATTCTCCGCAACGGCCATTGAAGTGCACGTCGAGTGAAGACTACGCGAACCATGCAGCTGACAGCAGCAACACGCGCTCAGCTTGATTTCAAAAACAAAACATTTTAGCGCTAGATCTCTTATTTAAGAGCGAACTAAATTAATGCTCTGCTAGTTAACTGGAAATGTTTTATTTGTATTAGGTACATCCGTGCCTCAGTGTTTTCAAAAGTGTGCCGGATACAAAATGACTAATGACAAAATCGCTGTGCATGCACGCCACATCGAGCACAACATCTGTCTCGCATGCACGCTCGCTCTAGATTACGGGATATTTAACTAATTTGCGGTAAAACTAGTCGATCACGAGTGGCTCAACAGGTAGATCTATAGATAAACTCATCTTTCAGGCATTTGACTGACCGGGTTGACACTTCAGCGTGAGAAATTGGGGGTATGGCGTGAGAGTGTGAGAACTGGGTCAGAGAGTTGAAAGCCCTGCGGGTGTGTCTGTCATCCAACAGCTCCTGCAAATTGACAGAATAGTAGCGATTTCACAAGATATGGGGTCTATATGCTGAGCAACAGCCAGGAAATATATTTTCAGGGTTATAATCAGAACTCTTTTTTTTTTCCTTCAGATTAGCAACCTGCAATCTAAGTGATCAGTGCTGTGAAATTGTGGCTTCTGCTCTACAATCATCAAACTCACCCCTGAGAGAGCTGGACCTGAGTAACAATGACCTGCAGGATTCAGGAATGGAGCTGCTCTCTGCTGGACTGAAGAGTCCAAACTGTCAACTCAACATACTGAGGTACGTAGAATAAGTTTTATGTATATAGTGCCTTTCCATAGCTCAAGGTCACTTTACATTGTACATTACAATAGATTTACACACTCACGCACATTGCAAACATATATAGCCACATTATCAAATGTTAGAAGTAATATTTTAAAATGAATAGGTAGTGCCACGGTTAACCAGTGAAGATCATGTAGCAGAGGAGTGATGTGAGCAGAATGCCTAGTTATGGTGAGAATATACTGTAATTGACGCATAAATTAAGGTGTCAGCAACAGCTAGAGTGAGAGAAGATCGAAGATGTGCAATATTACAAAAATGGAAAAAAAACAGAAAAATGAGTAAACAGAAATATAAGAGCAAAAAGATAGTTGAGTCCAAAACTACACCAAGGTTAAGGATGGATGAATAAGGCTTAACATGAACCCCATCAACTTCAAAGGATAAGTCCATCCTTTTGACTGAGCCAGCAGAGCCAATCATCAATATTTTGTTGTTATTTAGCTTGAGGAAATTCAAGGACATCCAATGATATCCCTGATACATGACGTACATGAGTTGGGCAAAGATGCCCTATTAGAGCATGGTAAATTTGAATGTCATCAGCATACCAGTGAAATTGAAGTCCATGCATGTGTATAATGTCACCAATATATGCATGTGTCCATGCATGTGTATAATGTCACCAATATATGCATGTGTTCATGCATGTGTATAATGTCACCAATATATGCATGTGTCCATGCATGTGTATAATGTCACCAATATATGCATGTGTTCATGCATGTGTATAATGTCACCAATATATGCATGTGTCCATGCATGTGTATAATGTCACCAATATATGCATATGTCTATGCATGTGTATAATGTCACCAAGTGGATATATATATATAAATGATGAACAATAGTTTTTAGTAGCCAAGAACTGAACCTTAAAGAATACCCAGTGTAGGCGGAGCAGTGACAGATCAATACCCTTGTTTAGTGATATAAAACTTTTTGCCGTGATGTAGGAAATTATCCAGGAAAGACCTGAAACAGTGATGCCAATATCAGAAAAGGTGAGAGATGGGTATTTAATGGCAGACTGTGTGAAATGCTGCACTTGTTTATTAACTCTGAATTCATGGACCATCTGAAGAAGAGCAGTTTCAGTGCTATGAGGTGGGCGAAATGCTGACTGAAAAGGTTCAAAAAGACCTTTAGGATCTACAGGTGAAACTTGAAAAATTTGAATATTGTGCAAAAGTTATAATTTTGATGATTAAATCTTACAGCTTATGAAAACCCCAAATTAAAAAATATCAGAAAATTAGAGTATTATAATCAATAAAAAAAGGATTTTAAATACAGAAATGTCGGCCCTCTGAAAAGTATAATAATGCGTATATGTATATAGCTATATACACAAAATATAGTAGTTTCACCTTTTAATTTTAATTACTAAAATTCATGAACTTTTGCACAATATTCTAATTTTCCGAGTTTCACCTGTAAGCATAATCTCAAATGTGAAGCCACAACTTTTTCAAGTATTTTGCTTAAGAATGGTAAATTAGATATTGGCCTAAAAGCTGGCAGGATGTGGAATTAGATTTCACAATTAGATTACTAATGGCAGCAGATATCGTCAGAGTGAAAGCAGAGATCTTGTTGAATGAGCTGAATCAGCTTACATAAAATGAACATTTAAGTCACTTGTATGAGGTGTATCTTTGTTTATGGATTCCGTGATTGACTCAACGTGTTATTTTAGGCTCTGTGGTGCTTGTGAATAGCTTTTCTCAATTCTTCTCAGACAAATTGAAGTCAATCACTGAATTCATCCCCAAAAACACTCATCATGCAAGTGACTCAAATTTAATGTAATCTGATTCAGCTCACTCAACAAACTCTCTTTCTCTGCGTTTACTCTGACTACTCCTGTTGCCATAAGTGATCTAATTGTGAAGTCAAATTCCACATCCTGTTGGCTTGATCCTACACCTACTGTTTTGCTTAAGATGTGTGTCCCCGATGTTGTACCCTTCATAACACATATGATAAAATGCGGTGACCCCCATTCTTAAAGGTGCTCTCTGGGATAAAAAATTAAATCATAGACCGTATTCCATACCAGATGGGGGCAGTATACCTCCAGAAAAATACCTCCGCGGCCACGCGCACTCATGTCTTCAAACAACACGGGCGAGTGCTGTGTTGCATGTCTCCCTCGCGCATATTAATCAAATCAATTGACACGATAGTAAAAGTTTGGAAGACCGCAGTTTCACGTGGATCATTTGGAGATTTTCAGAGATTAGAGACTAAATGAACAACATCTCAATACTAAATTATAAAGGCCGTCTCATAGACAAGCCGGTGCATTTCGACGATATGGGAAAATTAAAGCCCAGGCATTTTTAGTTTATGGTATTCGTTTTGTTCATGTTACATTTTTATCATTAGTTTGAATTAATTTGACAGACAGCATTCCCTGATGTGGACCAAGCTTGCGCCTTTCAGAGCTGCCAACTCTCACAAATTCACCGTGAGACACACAACTTTTCATTTTTCAATTGTCCATTTTTGCTCAGAAAAGGACACAGAGACCGATCTCAGCTCTCAGATTCTGTTAATTTTATTACGCAATTCAAACAATAAATGCAGTTTTGGCGCTTGTAAATGTTAGACGACAGATCCCTAGCGCACGTGAACCGATCATCTCTACTAGCTAATGGTAAAAGAACACGAACACTGTTGAAAGATATGTTACAACTTACCAAAATGTATTCCTCATCCATAATATCGACCAATCATTTATTTAACTCATCCCTGAACTGAAATTTAGTAGTGGGCTGTATTTCCAAACGACATCACGACATGACATCAGGTTCAAGTACACACAAGCCTGCGCGACTTACTCGTGTTACTGCAGTTTGGCTGGTGGTAACGTTGCCCGCCCACATACCGCCTCCCATGGCCGAAACTGGTATTACGACACCTGCCGGGCCGGGGCTAGTAATTTAGCATGCTAATTTAGGTTATATCTCGGCAGCACTATAACTTGCCAGTTTTTTAATGACATCATTGCACTTTTTTCTTCTCATTCTTTTGATGTGTGTAGCTCATTTTTTGGATATTTTTACCTCAATTATTCCATATGGCACCTTGACCATCTAACCATAGGCCATGACCATCTAAACATGGACAATTAGAGACCAATATCCAATTTAACATTTTTAAGCAAAATCCTAGAAAGGGCTGTTGCTTCGCAATTGCGATCATATTTGGATGTTAATGGTCTTTTTGAACCTTTTCAGTCAGGATTTTGCCCATCTCATAGCACTGAAACTGCTCTTCTTCGGGTGGTTAACGACATTCTTTTGTCAATGAATTCAGGGTTAATAAACATCTTGATGCTCCTTGATCTAAGCGCTGCTTTTGACAGTCTGCCATGAAATACTGATCTCTCGGCTTTCTGATATTGGCATCGCTGGTTCCACTCTTTCCTGGCTCATTTCCTACATCAGCGACAGAAAGTATTATATCAGCACACAAGGGTATAGATCTGCCACTGTTTCGCTTACACAGGGTGTTCCTCAAGGTTCAGATCTTGGCCCACTATTGTTCATCATCTATATATATATCCACTTGGTAACATCAGACGCAGACATGGACTTCAAAGCCATTGCTATGCTGATGACATTCAAATTTATCTTACCACCAGCTCCGATAGGCCATCCCTGCCTGACTCACTCACTGCATATATCAGGGACATCAAGCATTGGATGTCTCTAAATTTCCTCAAATTAAATGATAAAAAACTGAGATATTAGTGATTGGCTCTGCTGCCTCGGTCAAAAGGATGGACCAGTCCTTTGATATTGATGGAATTCATGTTAAGGCTTCATCATTGATTCGTAACCTTGGTGTCTTATTCGACTCAACTCTATCTTTTGGATCTCATACACAGTAAATTCCCCGGTGTTAAATTAACACCGCTCGGTGTTCATATGGGAACCACCAGCAGGGTGTTAAAAGTAACACTGAGGCAGTGTTAGAGTTAATGAGATAATTAAGTGATTAATTGAGTGATGATTGAGCATTATTCAAGACACCTAAAGCAGAATTACAAAGAGAAAACCTAACTTTCAGGTCACCGTTATGGAGGTGAGTGTTTGCTTTAGTTGGGCTCTTGATCTTTTCATTATTAACTTTATATTTTAATTGGCTGTTGCATTTGAGTTATACCTGCCAGATGAGCAAAGAAACAATTTATATGATGGTGTTAGTCATATTATGACATTCATCATTTGAAATATATGTTTGTGGTTAATTTTGTAGGTCACAGCATAACTGAGATTCTGCATAAATATCCAGAATGTTAGATATAATATAATGGATTTCTACAAGTTGTTTAAAAAATAATAATTTTCTTATAGGCACACACAAACCTCAAGATTCAGTCAATGCTTCTCAACGATGGTGACGAGCAGAATATTAAATTAGGAAAAGTAAATTACATAGACAATTCAGATCATAATTTATTCACACCGCAATGCATGATGGGAGACATTAATGAGTTGTGATTGGTGGCAACAAGGATTATTAATGTCACCATGGTTGAGATACACAGGCTAATTATTGATGTCTGTGTTTCTAAATAGAGATTAAAGTGATTTGATCAGAATAATTTTTATTGAATATTTTAGGTTATAAGAAAAATACGGATATGCTGCCAATTCAATAAGCCAATTCATCTGAAAAGTTTCATTTTTCAGATCATAGCATGATTATGTCATAACATAACATAACCAACAATCTCAGATCACAGTTTTCTTTGTTCATTTGACTGTTATAAATCAATAACAGCAGACAAACAAAGTTTAAAGTGAAAGTATAAGGGTCAATAGCCCAACTAAAGCAAACACTGATCACCATAACGGTGGCTTACAATTTGTGATTTTCTCCTTCGGTGATTCTGCTTGTTATCATCAGGTGTCTTCGATAATGCTCAATCATCACTA